GATGAGATATTCATTTTTGGTTACTTCAATCTGTCAGGCGTTTCGTGGAGTTCATCTCATAGCGGATTCCTGTACCCAGATCCTCATAGCTTTCTCTTTAACCATGTAGTTAACGAAAATGGTCGTGGTTTGGACCTCTGCTTCGTGAGCACACAGGACAGGGCTTCATCAATTTCCTCGGCTCCTTGTGCACTTACTAAGCTAGTTCCACTTCACCCTCCTCTAATTGTCACACTTCAACGACGTGCATCTGGTCATCGAAGCTCCTCGGTTATCATATGCAAATGAACTCAAAATCTTCCTATGAATCTGCTCCATTGCTGACTGTCACTTTCTTCAACGTCAACTGAATGTATTCGCTAGCTGGTGCAGGTTAAACAGAATGGTAGTGAACCCAGCCTAATGCTCTGCTATTACGTTCTCACGAAAACAACAACCGATAATATTTAGCTATGACCTGCTTGGCTCGACAATCGAACGCGTGAATCAGGTGAAAGACTTGGGTGTGATTGTGTGATCTTGGATTCACAGCTTTCATTCAAGCAACACATTGCATATGTTGTTGATAAGGCGTCAAGAACTTTAGGGTTCATTTTTAGGATAGCTAAAAACTTCACTGATATCTACTGTCTAAAATCTCTCTATTGTTTGCTTGTTCGATCGACGCTTGAGTATTGTTCAGCGGTTTGGAACCCAAACTACAACAACGGTGCCGAGAGAATTGAATCTGTTCAACGTCACTTTCTTCGTTTTGCGTTGCGTAGATTGCCTTGGAATGATCCGTTTCGATTACCCAGTTACGAAAGCCGTGACCTAGAACTTCTCCGGACTAGAAGAGACACAAGCAGAGCCCTAACCGTGGTCGATATCCTGCAAGGAAGGACAGATTGCGAGGCTATCCTGAGGCAAATTGACCTGAATGTTCAACCCCGACCGCTTCGTAACAACCTTATGCTAAGACTGCCTCTACGTCGCACAAATTATGGAGCACACGGTGCGATTTGCGGACTGCAGAGAACATTCAACAGAGTTGCTTCTGTTTCGACTTTCATCTCTCCCGTGATGCGCTTCCGTCGAAAGTTTTCTTCTGTTTTTCGCCGGCAGGAGTAACTATAAAATATGTTTTGTAATGTTTTTTATGTTATGACCATGCTTGAATGTATTTTTTTACCATGGTTGATAAGGTTAACATCATTGGGGCTTCATCCAGCCTGTTGATGTAAAACAACAATAAAACAATAAAACAACTAGGCCCGAAGGTGGACAGCCCCGGCGTCGTGGTTAACATTTTTATATTTATTCATTTATTCATTTCGCCAAGCCAATGTAGACTACTGCACAATGATTATTAGAAAGTTTACTTACATACTATGTATTATTTCTATTCTGTTTAAACTTAAGTTTTATTTGCTGCTTGGACATAGTGATGTCAATAGTTCTACAATGCAAATTATATTGTTACAGGCGCATTATTCTATATATGATTGGGCTATTTTTTTTTCATAGTTTGTTCTGCACGATTTTTCAGAAAATGAATTCCGTGTTCTAAGGTGTGTAATAGTTTAATTGTGCGAGAATTTCTGCTGAATCTGTGCGCAGTGAAATAATGTCGTTGATGAAGAAAAGCATTGGAAATTGGTGGCGCTCCTTAAGGTGATACTCTAAGGAAGCCTTAGCGTGAAACTTCAAAGGCACAAATGTTAGCTTCCACAAAACATACAAATTTGAAATTGCTACTCTCTGTTTGTAGTAGTGTTTGTATATTATTGAGCATGCAGCGTGCTTCATAAGCTAGTAATGGAAATGCAGTCCAATTTACGTAAATCATACAAAAAGAATTATTTTTGGAAAGATTCTATGCGTTCTTCTGCCGTTCTACGCATATCTGTCCCATGTTACTTGTGAACATTTTTCCCATTTTTTCATAAAACAATACTTTTTAAATAAACTTTCGAATGAAAATAGAAAACATGTAAATCGCACCACCATGAGTACCAATGCTAACGACGCCAGGAAGGCAGCTCCCACCCTGAGCCCTAGCTAACCGACCCATCAACTCATGGACCGAGGACCAACGGCTTTACTTCCCTTCCGAAGGAACACAACAACAAAATAATTTTAATGTCACATCAAAGTGGATACACTTCAATCGTGCCAAAAATATGGTGTAAGATTACTTCCCAAAAAGGACAAAGTTATCATTAATACAGTGCATGAACTGACATTACGCTGCTTTTACTGCATTTGTTTATTTTTGTGGCCATAAAAATTACATGAGATTTTCGACATAATTGAAGTGCATCCTCTTGGATGTTATATTAAAATTTATTTTGTGCTGTGAAGGTGTGATCAGAGATGTTATGCCTCATTGCGCCGACTGGGATTGATTGGGGTGAGATAGGCTTATTAAAAAACAAAAAGTCTAACTGTCCCATGTTGAAATTCTACGCATAACTGTCCCAAAAAGATTTTTTTTTATCATTAAAGAATCGATTTGAGTGCACGAGTTATTGAAACAGGATTTATATGATCAAAAGAAACGGTATGAGCGGGAAGTATACGTTTAAATTTATGATGAAAAATATTAAGAGAAATAGGAATTCATATTAAAATACCAGATTAGAGTTCAAATTTTAAACTGTGCATTCTTAGAGTAGTAAAAATTTCCTTGATTGTTTCGAGAGTTCCCTGATAATTCCATGACTTTTTCAGGAGATTTAGAATTCCTGATAATTCTAGGTTTTCCAGGTAGTCGCCACCCTGTTCAGTCTTTAACTGAGATTTTTTTTAATCTATTAAGGAGGTTTTTTTACCACGGGCTACTTCATCTCCGAAAGTTAACTCTGAAAAGTATTCTGAGAATTCTTTCAAAGGTTGTGAAATTCCTAGAAAAGAATAAATGCAATCTCTTCGGGTTATTATATTAGTATGTTATTAAGCAACATTTCAGCTATATTTTCGAATATTTTCAGCCCAAAATATTATTTTTTCCGCTGTTGGCAGCCCTTTTTGCAAAACCATATTTTTTTACCTTCTGTCCGCGATGTAAAAATCAATTATCTAAAATCTAACATAGGATTTTTCGGATATAAATTCCAATTTTTCGATTTTGTTGTTGTTTTAATGCTGACAACGCTGTCTCGCAAGCGATAGTCGATGGACTACATCTGTCTGCAGGGCTGCCAACAGCGGAAAAAATTATATTTCGGGCTGAAATTTTTCGAAAATAAAGCTAAACTGGTGCCTAATAACATACTGAAAATCCGAAGTAATTGCATTTATTATAATGTTCTAAAAATATACCCTTTTTTAAGAGATCTCAACAGGTGTTCCCCATTAAAAGTTAATCCGCGATTAGGGAATCAAACGTTGGGGGCTGTTTATAAACTGCGTAGACATTTTAGGGGCGGAGGTCATGGTAAGTGTTTACGGTTCATAATGCTCAAAAAAAATGTACGGAAGATGAGCTATACGGGGGGGGGGGCATTAGATGTCTAAAAGATCTAAAAAACTACAAGGGACAGATATGGGGTTGTACGCAATGGTGACGTAGGACTACGTGGTCTTATATAATAAATGTTATTTGTTAACTTCAGCAGGAGCTTGTGTTTTGTGTAGGAAAAGGAATTTGAGCGGGATTCTCTCTGCTTATACGCTTTAGTATGACGCGCTTGACATAGATGGCCCACAGCAACTCACGAAGAGCTACTGAATCCAGCTCGCTGCTTGCAGGCAACCGTGCAATTTTCAATAGTGGCATTTTGAAAAATGATAAAGTCTTAAATTTAACAGATGCGTAGAAATATATCTGATCGATTGGTGATAAAAATATTAAAATTGGTCCAGGGGCAGCTGAGTTATTAACGTTCAAAATCTTTCATAATTTTGTTACATGTTCCATTTTCGGTATTCACAAAGTGTATCCCCATATAGAAATCACAGACGTAGTCCTACGTCAAAAAAACCTTCTCACGACTACATTACAGCATCTGATCATGCAGTGAAACATTAGAAATTCTATATACTTTTTAAGCAATTCTGTGATAGAATCTTTCATTTCAAGGTTGGGTGCAAGGATGTCTGTGAAAGATGTAGTAGCTGCACAGTAGCTTACCGACCCCACTGTTAAAAGGTTTGGTAAACAAATAAATTCACATGTTTTCAAAACACAGAACACATACAGCGCCCTACCCATACAGGATTTCAAAACGGCAGATATTAACGATGTATTTTGATCTATAAAACCCCTCATGAGACAAGCCAGGTGAAATACAATGGAATCCTAAGAAAGGTCGTTTTCTCAACGACCATCTATCTGAACCACAGAAATTCTAACATTTCAACGTGAATGGATATAAATTAAACAGCCATCTTCTGCATTATAAATAAACAACTCAACAAATGAGATTGTTACAGCTTTCACGAATGGACAGGGACAATTTATTTGCGCTTAATAGATTCATACCGGCGGCACCAAGTGAAAAAAGAGACTTGCGCTGCATTTCGCCAAGAATGGTCACCTACATGGGACATTAACAACATGATCTTGTTTTCTATAGCTGAATACAGTAGGTACTGCGGTTGGTCATTTTCAAAACGATATTCAATTGTGTCACACCGTTGTTGGCAAGAATAGTTTGACAATTGGCTGTATGCCATCACAGTGATTCAATATTTTCTTCTCCAAATTAATGGATTGTGAATCCCAACATGAAAATGGTTCTGTTTGAGAGATTAAGAAGTGACAACAGATGGTGGCATATCAAAATTTGAACACATGGTATCGCTGCTTGAGTAAATTCTGTACGCTCAGATGACTGTGTAAATTACGGATTTTTATGTGCCCCATTCAAGATATAAATTTCGCGATGCAGTCGAAAATATCCTTGGGTGACATCCAAAATTGAGCGAACGTGATGAGCAACGCTGAAAGGTTTAAACCCGACATATATCATATGGAAATGGAAGTGATATATAGCATAATATGCAACACATGCCGATTGCATTCATTCATCTATTTATCCACACATGAGATAGTTTCCAGAAAGCCATACCTAGTACTGCTTCTTTTCTTTGTTTTTCTCTTCCGTACACCTTCCGCAGCATCCCCCGTCTAGAGAATTTTCACAAATATCCAACGGCTTATGATTGGGTGTCCACTCGCCTAGGCTTTTGTTGGCATAGAAATCCATCGGATATACTTCTTCTGCCACTTTAGGTTGGCCGTTTTGTGTGTGAGATTGTCCATTGGTGATTTTATTGTCGTCTGTCAATTTCCACTCCGCGTCACCAAGCGCTACAGAGAGCTCATACGGTGTCAGCAGCGGCTTCGGGAATGCAGTTCCCCAGTCGATGGAAAGTCGCGGGCATGCCACCTGTAAATATATGGATAGAGATGAGAGGAGAAAAGTTAAAGAATATATGTAATAGATATTTTAATGTTATACTTTGTAAATTTTAATCAACTTGGATTGTTGATCATGTCTGGGAATTCAGAGATTAAAAATCACATCTAGCAACCAAAAATGTGCAATAATTGGTCACACCCCGAATGTCGTGTCTACAAGTGTTTCATTTTTCAGTTAAACTGCCATTATTCGTCGTTGAAAAAGATCGTTTTTGTTTTCATTTTACAAATTCCAGAAAAAAAAACATGAAACCTGTCTTCAAGCGCCAATCACTGTTTGAAGAAATCCTTACGGAGGTATTTGACATTGTGCCAGGAAAAAAAATCAACCATTACCAATGCATTGGCCGAGATACTCTTTTTTCCTATGTTTCGAGGGGTGCATCGAATAGCTTGGGACCGAAGATAGTACCAGAGCTGAGCCAAAAAATTGAGCACGTTTCTTTGGGACCTTCAGGTCGTAGAGTTAACTGTATGGTAGTACCGTTGTACCCCCGCATAAACGCGAACCAGAACTTGACCTTACAGATAATGGTTAAAAATTGTTTATAATCCCTCCTACATTTAAACTGAAATGGTTATAGAACTTTACATGAACCTTTGTGTGATAAAATTTTTACCTTATGTGTTAAGGTTTTTTTTTTTGGAAATGGACCTTACAAATAATGGGTTGTCAAGACCATTCCAAATTCTTGGTTGCTCCATACATTTTCGGAAAGAGAACTATATTAGAACCTTTTAACTTATGGTTTGAGAACTAATGGTAATGGTTATGGTAGTCAGTAAGGTCCATGGATGGTTTTGTATTATCAGTCAGCTTTACGTGAAACGTATCGTGAATTGGTAATCACTAATTTACAGGCAACCCATTCGCAATATATTCCACATAAAGTTGATCGATGTTACAAAACTATTCATGGACCTAACTGACTACCATAACCATTACCATTAAAGTCATCAAAGGTTCTTATATTTGGAATGGTAATGGTTCTTAACAACCCATTATTTGAAAGGTCCACTTCCAAAAAACCATAATACCTAAGGTTAAAACTTTATCACACAAACGTTCATTTAAAGTTCCATAACCGTTTCTGTTGAAGTTTAGCAGGGATTATAAAGAATTTTTAACCATTTTCGGTAAGGTCAATTTATGGTTCGCGTTTATGAGGGTTCTTTAATCTAGCATTTTTCCTAACAAACAATCTTTATAAAATTGTATTACCAATTCAAATTCTGAATCAAGTCTCCCTTAACTCAGCCGGTTAATGCGCAGCTATAAAGCGGTTTGGTTGAATTCTCGGTCATGTCTAGGAATTTTTTAGGTCGACAAATTTCCGACTTCCGTGGCATGCCACATAACAATACTAATGCAAAAATGACACTGGCTTAGAAAGCTCCCAATTAATAACTGTTGAAGTGCTCAAAGAATACTAAGCTAAGAGCCGGGGTAAAGTCCCAGTAGGGACGACAAATCCAAAGAAGAAGAAGATCAAGCTAGTTGAATAAACTTGTTTCCGTTGAACCTGCATTTTTTTATAATGCGTTTATTTTTCCAGGCTCATTTGCTATAGCTTTGCGGAGCCAATATTCATTGATTAGATTACAAAATTACTTAAAACTAAAGTTAGTAAAGCGGGGGCCGATTACTCGCGGCTATCTCGAGGTTAGGGGTGACAAATTGTAACAAATGGATGGCAGGGAAGCGATTGTAAACACAAGGTTTGGAGAGCAATGTGCTCTTGATCTCGAACTAAGCGACACTCTGATGAAAAAGACAAACATGGGGGTACACCGATGGGCAGCTAACAACTTGGGAGAACACAAGATGACACTAACTACTAAATCCTCAGATCTATCCGTTTTAAAAACACATAAATTAAATTCAAATAGTCGAGATCTCGGCTCGCCAAGACATCTCTAACGGGTATCGCGGGTTGTTTTCCTCGGGCCCTGAGGAATGTGGATAACTCAGATCTGGCAACACGGTGTAAAGTACACGACCAAACAACATGCTCGATATTGTGATAAACACTGCCACACGCTCATAAATTGCTGCCTGAGAGCCCAATTCGATAGAAGTGCGAGTCTAACGAGCAATGATTGGACATAAGCCTTGATATAACGCGTATAAAGTCACGGCTCATGTCCAACCCTTTGAACCATGGTTTGTTCGACACCTGTGGGAGAATAGAATGTAACCATCTTCCCAATTCACCATCATTCCATTTGTGTTGCCAACTGATGCGGACTTGCTGACGAGCAATGGAGAAAAATTCGTTGAAGGCGATTTGTCGCTCAAAAATATCGCCTTCCATAGCGCCCACCTTAGCCAACGAGTCCGCTTTCTCATTACCCGGAATTGAGCAATGAGATGGGACCCAAGCTAAGGTGATAGTATAGGAGCAGTTAGATAAAGCACTCAGTTTCGATTGTATTTCAGGCAGGAAATACGAGGAGTGCTTCATCGGCCTCATTGAACGAATAGCCTCCAATGAGCTAAGACTATCCGTAAAAATGAAATAATGGTCAGAAGGTAGTGAGGCAATACGCTCTACTGCGTAAAATATAGCTGCGAGTTCCGCAACGTATACTGAGCATGGTTTCTGCAGTTTATAAGAGGCGCTTTGAAATTGATTAAATACACCAAATCCAGTGGAAGCATTTATGGTTGACCCATCTGTGAAAAATCTTTTATCGTTACTTACATGGTGGTACAGAACCCGCATTAACACTCTATAAAATTTCAAGCTCTTTGTGATTCTTCCCGAGTCGTTCGATCCCCCGTTATCGCGCTGAAAAAAGGAAACTGAACTGCTCGCTGAACTGGCTTTTTAAGCTTTTTAAGCTTTTTAAGCAACCTCCAAAAATCTGTCAAAATGAGTGCTCCGCGTAAGATTTCTACTCAAAAGAGCTCCTGAGTAGAAATCTTACGCGGAGCACCCATTTTGGAAGATTTTTGGAAACCAAATTTACAATCTTCATGAGTGGTGCGGAGTCACTCGGAATGGTTGTCAAAAAACCAATTGGTGCTTTCTAAAAATCCAACGAATGATTGTCGAAAACGACCTATTAGCAGATTTGGGTATCCACTAAGATTAATACACCTCTCCTATAAATATCAGAAAAGTTGATTGAGAGAAACCATTTTAAATGTGAGTCCAAAATATTGATTAGTAGCTTAACAGCATAGAAGATCGAATCGGTTTTTTGCTGTTTTCCAGTATTTGTAGCAAATGAACTTATGCGGTTTCTCATATAAATGATTCAATTATATGAGCAAACAATGTCGACGAAGAAATGCAAACTTCATCGTACCTCTCCGTTTTATAAGTACCGTCAAACAGCTAGTGGTAAATGTACATTGTTACTGCAGAGATGTCACCATACAAATTGTTTGGAGGAAACTAATGTCATGACAATTTTCCTTATAATATATACATGACATTAACCACCAACATTTTTATGGGTTTAAGGTTTTTGTTGGTTAGTAAATCAATAAGCATAAATATCAACGTCTGTTGTCTCCTGCGTTTGTTGTCTACACTCTATTTATTTTGTCTGACAATTAGACAAGTGAAAAACATTAAATTTTCATTGTTTTCTAACATAATCAGTTACCTTATATTAACCTCGCTTTTAAACATCGGAAATCGTAAGTGGCGAATAATAAGATTACATTATCCAATTTAGATTGCATCCCTGATTAGATTATCGAATGGTAAATACTATTCAGCATTAAAATATTAGAGTATGTATTTTAGAGAATAGCCACTTATTAAAAGTTTGGTAAAGTACTGCTATATAAAGTACTTATTTTTGTAAAGATATGTAGCGAGACAACTGAAAGTGTTGCAAGTCCGTATGTATAAATATAAACTAAAGTCAATCAACATATCGACAATAAAATGGTACACTTACCTGCACAAATGCATCAACGTCTTTAAATAGCTCCAGTTTAGTGGGAAATATCTCCGACAAAAGAATGATAACCGCCTGCCGATTGTGCTGTTTTAATCTTTTTTGTAAGTGTTCCATCACCTTAGTAGATCCTTGCCGTCCCAGTGTTCCCAAAATAAGTCCAAATTTTTTTGCTCCCCTGCTGGCATCGATGGCCTTCTTCCTGTTTCTTCGCATCTCAATGTGATCGTAATGCTCACGGGTAAACTTCTTCTCGTATGGGTCATATTTGTAGGCCTCTATAGAAGGATTAGAAATCATCGCCGCTTCGAGATGAAACCGTCCATCGCCCAGGTAGATTAGAGTCCTTTCATCTGCTAACCGAGGAGCCGTGCAGCCAAGAATCTCTCCCGGGCTCAACGGTTTGCTCTGGGGAATGAGTACGTCATATTCGGCGTCTCTTAATTCCTTCGCCGATGCATGAAGTGTGGCTACGAACTGAATCGTACTGACCAACGCTAGCTTTCGTTGTTTGGGAAAATTGAGCTTTACACTTTCAATAAAGTGCAGTGCGTCTATTTTGATGTCCACGAAAACGTACAATACTTTGATGCCGACAGTTTGGTCCACTGGAATAAGGCAGCTGTGACCGTAGTGAACTAACAGATCTGCTCCAAGGGCTTTGGCTGTATAATCATCAACGCAACATGCCCCGTATGTAACGTCGCCCATGACTATCGTGTCCGCCTCGGTAAATCGCTCGATTATGTCGCTGATCACTAGTGAAAACATCAACAATCCTAAAAAAAAATGAGAAATAGAACCTTGTCCACAGCAAATGACAATGAATTTACCTTCAGGCATTTGCAGAGCGACCCGTTTAGCCTTCATTTCCCGGACGCGCCAGATCGTCTTGTGAATTTCGAAGTTATAGTTAGTAGGTAAAACACTGATTGCGCCATTCAGCTCCGGATCATTAAGAAGAGATTGTGGAATTTTGTTGATTACTCTTGTTGCTCCTTTGAACACCTTTCGCACAGGTTTGGCCTTCACGATTTTTACATCCGTAAATTGTTCCACTGCTACTGCTGCCATGGTGTCTACTGTTGAACTATCTTCTACAGCAGGTTTGCTCTACATGAACCACTGAACTTCACCACCTTTCTGCAGAAAGCAACGTCCTAAAATACAACAGTTTTTCACCTTTCACCGTTAGCGATCGGATATTAGCACAAAGAATCAGTGCTCTGGAGTTGTAAAAAGATCAATGAACGAAAGTATGCTGGCTCTACGACCGCAATCCAAGCAAGGATTACGTGACAAACTGCACGCGAGTAATGAATGACGATTGGCGAAAGAAACAGCAAAGAAAATGCAACCCAAAACAAACCGAAATAGAAGAATGTCAAGAATGGAAGTGTAGTACTAGAATACAGTGTAGTTGTAGTAATACGATAATACAGTTACCTCTATAGACGAGTGCACGGATGGATTTGAGTTCACTGACTCGATAAAAAGCGACACAACAGCGGGGCCCTGTTTACTAAAAATGAACACATAATATATTATGTGTTCATTTTTAGTAAACAAGGCCCCGCTGTTGTGTCACTTTTTGTCGAGTGAGTGAACTCAAATCCATCCGTGCACTCGTCTATGATACAGCGCCTGCAAAACAAAAAAGGGGTATCGATCAGCGTAATTCAAATAGATGAATCAATACCACTGGATGTCAAACTGATAAATCCAGAACAACATGTGAAAAGGGCATACAAGCTTTTTGTAAACAAACCTTTGTAGGCCCTTTTCTCACCAACCGAGGGTCGCCCACGCAAACCAGCAATATCATCGGGAAGGAGAAAGTGTCCCCTACCCGGTGATGTTAAAGGTTTGCGTTGGTGTCATATGGGTGGCGAGAAAAGGGCATAAGAAGGTTTGTTTACAAAAAGCTTGTATGCCCTTTTCACATGTTGTTCTGGAAATGCGGATTCATCGCATCGCATGCAGCATCCTATTACATCAATTATTATCAATTATTGATGAAATAGGATGCTGCACGCTGACGTCACGAATGAATGCGATGAATCCGCTTACCTTTGCCTGTTAGTGGATCCGAGTTTTTAATTAAATTAATTAAATTTATGTTATCCGACTATTGTCTTTTAAAAAATCTTCCTCTCTAAAATATCTAGAAAAAAATATTAAGTTCATGCAAACAAACCACCACGAGATATGAAAAAATAGGTTAACCCAACTTATTGTAAAAAGCGGATACAATATTGGGCATTTCTCACCGAACTGGACAAAAAAGCACGTTCTTCAATTATAAAGTGATAAAAGTGCACGTTTACGTTAAATCGTTCTGTTTTCCTCAGCGCACTTATTCCTTATAAAGCAATAAATAAGTGCTCCGAAGACAACAAAACGATTTGACGTAAACGTGCACTTCACCTTTTTTAACCAACAATATTACATCTATATCCATCTCTGAGAAATTATTTGAAAATTCCGTGTATCTCTAGCATTGAAAATATTTTTCGTATACGTATTCGTATAGAAAGTAATCCATTTAATGCTGAAGCAGCTTGTCTACAAAATGCGTAAAATTTTACTCAAAAATTGGGACTTTCAATTTAGCGTGTGTTCGAGCATTGCTCACCAAATTTTCAAAGTGTTGACATCGGCTTTACGCTAATGCATTAGTTCTACATATTGGTGTTCTCTCCGTTTTAAAACGTCCACGTGTTTAAATTTCAAATTTGAATTGAAGCATTTTTGGTGTGCTGCATATTCGTTATCCTTCACACCGGCACAATGTCCTCGGATATTATCGTAACCAAACGCATCAACCAACTAAACCAAGATACTCGCAACTTCATCATCACCGGGGTCATAATTGCGAAAAATGATCCGAAATTTTTTGAGTCCACTTCAGCGCAGCGTTCCGCAAATGACTCCTCGGCCGGTCGTGGCGTCATGACAGTGACCGTCCGAGACAGCGATCGGGATACGATAAATTGCACTATCTGGGCGTCCCAGCTAATGATCGATTCCTACGACAGTCTTTTCCACATTGGAGACGTGGTGAATATTACGAATCCAAAGGTTTTGCCCTCGTCCCATGACAAATCCGAGCAGTTCAATCCTAGATCAACATCTCCGTACAGCCTAACGCTTGGGGAAAATGGCGAAAGCAGCATCAAACTATACGAAGGAGTTGGACTTCATCAAATGAGAAAGCTAGTGTTCGTCGCCCCAGTAATACCGTCGGACACCTATCCTCTTGCTGACATAGCTGCCGGTGGTCAAAGTATCAACGGCCAGAACGTTAACGTTCTAGTGGTGGTTCGCAGCATTAGACCCAGAAAACAGATTGTCCTTTCGAAGAATGGAAAACTAAAAAATCTTCGAGAAATTATCGTGATGGATGCTAGCCACGGAGGGATGTCTTTGAAGTTCTGGAGTGACGAATACATAAAGCGTATTGATAAGTGGATTCCTCTGACGACGGTCCTATTGATAATGGACGTCCGAATCGAGTATAATCAGTATTATAAATCAATTTGCCTTGGGATGAGTGGCAAAACTATAATTACTGAAGACCCCGCTATCGAAGAAGCTGATCAACTTCTTCTACAAGTGATGAAAATGCCGCTTCAGGAATCAGATATCACCCATTCACTTACGTCCGGAACAACCGATCGTTGAGTATACACTAAGGTAACCGAGTTGGCATGTATTTTAAAGATTTTTTTTTCTTGTAGCGGTGAATATCACAACCATCATGACAGTGCAACAGATTCAAGACCGAGCCGAAGGAGACCTGAAGGGTGAAGAGGATTCATTCACTGCTCTATGCTACGCCGTAATTACCAAATTCGATTTAGATGGCTGCTCCAAGATAACAAGTCGTAAATGGCAAGTATTTTGTTCTTGCTGAACCATCTCAAGAAAACTGTTCTATTTATCATTGCTCACTCCTATTTCAGTTTGAACTGCAAATCTCTTTTACGTGCATCAGATCCCAAATGTCCTCGGGACGAGTGCCTGCCTAATCCTTACAACATCAACACCTACTTCGACTTACCTGTTGATATCTCCGACCATACGGGCACTCTGGCCAACTGTCGATTGGTTAGTCAGGCCGCCGAGAATACACTAAACTGCAACGTTGAGGCATTCCTCAAAATGGGAGACGTCCAAAAAGGAAAACTTAAGTGGTGTTTTTTGTTGGAACGCTGTGCTTTAAAGCTGGTTATCAAACGGAAGTCACCCATTCGCTTCCAGACGGTCTATTCCATTGTAGAGTGCCGCGTCGCTAAAGCTCATGAAGTTGAGATGAAAATTAAAGTATATTAGAAATAGAGAATGAAATTTTCACTATTGATATAATACCTACTCATTTATGTATTCTAATTGAAAAAAAAATGTGTTCATTACTTAGGTATTATACACATTATTCCGGTTTTGCACAGATCGGTAATTATATTATAATATTGTTTTCCTTAAACCTCTGAATTACACCGTAAGCTCAGCATTTACTGTTCACTGTATACATAGGGTGAATGATTGGTTCAACAAAGTCCGAGAAAATGAAGTCCTTCAGCGCTCAAATTTGGCTAAGGATACATTTTCATTTCAATGGTTGCAAAATAAGTTTGAGGTCATATTAAGCTTTCATTATGCAGTCAAGAGTTTCTATAATGAATGCAAATTACCTTCATGTTTTGTTGAAAATTCAATTTATTTTTTCTCCCGCTGGGCATGGGGATTGACGTTACTAAAGTGAAGAATTATAGGTTTTATAATATTCACATTAATTTTATAATCCTCCTTAGTGGAACATATCACCTGTACACTTCAGTAAGCCTCGGACGTCTAAATTTGCATAGATTCAATATTAAATAAGCTCTAAAAACACAATTTATTCATCTTTTTCTGCAAAGCAAAATGCATTTTGTCGGGAATCTATTCAAGTTTTAGAATCAGTCAGGAAAATTATGAATCAATACATGGATCCGGAGTTATTTCGGTTTCCGTTGAGGTCACTGTGAGACGGCATTCGGCTTTACTGTTGTGTAATAATTATACACACGGTGAACATAATATTTTTTCACTAAAATTATGTAATTGGCCAGTGGCAGTCTATGATTATATTGGACATCCCGGCAAAGTTCCGGTGCCCCGGGGAAGTGGCCAATTTCTTAATAAAAACCAAAACCGTTGTGCGACATATCAAACTTCATGATTTTACGATACAATACATGGCTGTTAATGGCCTTATTGACAGTCCATGATCACACTACACGGAAACAAATCCGATTCCATTTTCATGAATAAAAAATCATGAAATGAAAAAACTTGCCATCCCATGAAATTGTAACAATGATTCATGATTTCGGGATGGAAATTCATGATTTCATAATGCAGAGGAATCAAGACCGCTAAAAGCGTTACACGTACTTGGCAAACCGTGTTCATAAACCGCACTACATAGGTATCTCTTACACGCCTTTTGCTTTCCTTCTTATATAAGTACTGATAGTCTAGTGGTCAAAGTAAAGGTTTAGTGATTTCAAGGTTCTTGGTTCGAATCCAGTCTGATGACTCGTCGTGCGACATATAAACTTCATGATTTTGTAAAAATCGGCCAGTAGTGGCCTTATTCAATGGGTGATGTGCGTTGTTCGAATATCGGGGACACTCTCGAGTCCCTTTGAATCTCGAAGGGGGTTACAGCAAGGTGATGGACTTTCGTGTCTGCTATTTATCTTTGATTCAACATCGCGTTAGAAGGTGTGATCAGAAGAGCAGGTATAGACACGAGTTACACGATCTTCAGGAAGTCTATCCAGCTTTTTGGCTTTGCCGATGACATCGACATCATGGCACGGAACTTTGAGACGATGGCGGAAACGTACATCAGACTGAAGGCTGAAGCTAGGCGGATTGGATTTGCCATCAACGCATCAAAGACAATGTTAGCCTCCCACCCCGCGTTCAGATTGACGGTGATGAAATCGAGGTGGTCGATGAGTTCGTGTATTTGGGCTCACTGGTGACCGCCGAAAATGATACCAGCAGAGAAATTCAAAGACGCATTATGGCTGGGAATCGTGTCTACCGCCGCACGAAGTTGACTGTCTACAAGACGCTGATTAGACCGGTGGTCCTCTACGGCCACGAAACCTGAACTATGCTCGTGGATGACCAACGCGTCCTTGGTGTTTTCGAACGGAAGGTGTTGCGTACCATCTACGGTGGAGTGCAGATGGATGACGGAACGTAGAGCATGTGAATGAACCACGAATTACACCAGCTGCTGGGAGAACCATCCATCGTCCACATTGCAAACATTGGGCGACTACGGTGGGCTGGGCACGTCGTTAGAATGCCGCACGACGACCCAGAGAAATTGTTTCTAGAAAGCGACCCAACAGGAACAAGAAGAAGAGGCGTGCAGCGGGCAAGGCGACCTGCGAACCCTTCGCAGACTACGAGGCTGGCGAAGTGTGGCCATGGATCGAGTAGAGTGGAGACGACTTTTCGGACAGCAGAGGACAACAAGGCCTTAGCCTGATTGGTAAGGTAAAGTAATGGTTCTTGTCGAGAATTTGCCACTTCCCCGGGGGAACCAGATCTTTTCCGGAATCCTCAATGTGATCATGGACCATCGGTATAGCAGCCATTGGTCCAATTACATCATTTTAGTGGGAACATATTATGTTCACCGTGTGTAAATTATTACAGAACAGTAAAGCAGAATGCCATCCCAGAGTGACCCCAACGCAAACCGGATTAACTCCGGAACCATGTATTGATCCATATTTTTCCTGACGGATTCAAAAACTTGAATAGATTTCCAACAAACTGCAACTTGTTTTGCAGAAAAGATTGAGAAATCATGTTTTTCGAACTAATTTAATTTCGAAATTTATTTAATTTTGACGTTAGGCACGCTAAGGGTGATCTCTCTCTCTGATTTGGTAGTCATTCCATATAAATAGTACCAAATTAGAAAGATAAATCCGCTTTTACAGCCATCGGTCAGTTGGGAATTTACTACTCCGAAGACCTGTTGTTGCAAACTCCTAAATAGGCATTTTTAAATAAATATTATGCTATACGGAAATGCTATCATGGATCACGGCACACGTTATGCATAACATGCATAGTTTTGCACACAAATTACTCATTTGTTAATAGTTTTCAATTAGTTATAGAAATTTGGTTTACTTTGAAGCAATTGATAAAGTATGATCAGAGTTCACTGTAGACATGCCAAGAATAGTTCAATCCTAACATTTGAATTCACGCTAATGAGTTTTTCCTAGTCCTAGATAAGCAGCAATCATTGCTCACATTGGTTTTCTAATGCGAACATGAGATTAGATGTTCGTCTAAATGTAAATCTGCTATAAGCTTAATGCTTATAAATACTTTATTCTCAAATCGTCAAAGTAGTGTTTAATAAACGGAATGCAAAGTTGACAACAAATTAACAATCAAGTTTGGCCCACGTGGAGTGAAAACGATAGTAAACACCTGTAAGCACGTGCGTTTGGATGCTATAGGGACAGGCGCACTCCGACGTACCAAATCAACAAGCGTGATCCATCCATCACTTCGCGGTTACTACGTTACGCTTCCAGCTAGTTGAACGGAAGTAAACAACCTTGACAAAAGAAGGAAATTTTCTTCAAGTTGTACTCTGAAATTTGATCAGAGTTTTTCCTAGGATTTGTGATTTTAAGGTCCCAAAAATGGATATCGAATACCCGTATCAGAAAGAACGCCGTGAGTTCGGTCGCCAGTGCCTGTTTTCGGACAAGAACAAGGTCGAGTTCTCGGAAACTGCTAACCATGATCTTTTCAAGGAGTACATCCTTCGGGATCCGGTACACCTGGGCACACAATATAGCCACCAGATGGCGTTGAGCGAAATCAATACCGAAAGTGCGGAATACGAGAATCGTGGAATATTGCACTCGGAGGGCGGATGGCCAAAAGATGTTAATTACTTGGACCCTGAGCAAACCGTTCGATATCGCAGGAAGATTGAGAAAGATGAGAATTACGTGAGTCAGTTGACTACAATGATGAAACCAATGGAGCATTGTATTTATCAGAACAACGCCGTAAATATTTATGAGAACTATTTTGAGGGATTGGAGCCTGCTCCACTAATGGAAAAAAGTAGCTCAAGAACTTTGAATGTTTATAGAGATCCCTCTATTTACAAACAGCCAGTAACTCATCTCTCATGGTCTCCTGACGGTGGCTCAAAAATAGCCGTATCCCATTGCAACATGAACTTCCAAGAAACAAGCGGAAAAACTGTTTGTTCTTATATATGGGAAATCGAAAATCCGAACGCTCCATTGTTGAGATTCACTCCATATAGTTCTATGATTTGCTTGGAATACAATCAGAAGGATCCTACCACACTGGTAAGCGGGATGTATAATGGCCAAGTAGCTGCCTGGGATACCAGGAACGAAAAATCTCCGGTAATGATTAGCGAACGCGAACACTCGCACAGGGCTGCAGTGAACTCAACGTTGTGGATCAATTCGAAGAGCGGAACCGAATTCTTTTCTGGGTCTTCGGACAGTCAGGTCAAGTGGTGGGATACAAGAAAGTTATCACAACCTATCGACACACTGTTGATGGATCCCATCAAATCCGATGAGCAAGACCTTTCGCGTTCCTATGGAGTTAGTTGCCTGGAGTATGAAACATCTATTCCGACCAGATTCATGTGTGGAACGGAACAAGGAATGCTGTTTTCCTGTAACCGTAAGGGTAAATCCCCGCAAGAGAAAATTGTATATAGGGTACGACAGTTGATATATATTTAAGAGCTATTATTATAAAAAAAAGCTGCATCTTTTCTAGCTTCAATGTCACACTGGACCAATCTACTCACTAACACGTAACCCAGCGTTTGTTAAAAACTTTCTTACCGTCGGCGATTGGATTGCACGCATTTGGTCTGAAGATTGTCGCGAAAGTTCTATCATTTGGACCAAACACCATTCGGTTATGCTGACAGATGGGGTGTGGAATCCAACGCGCTATTCAATATTCTATGTGAGCCGTGTAGATGGAGTGCTGGATGCATGGGATCTACTACAGCAGCAAAGTGAACCAATTCTAAGCATCAAGGTCTGTGATGAGAGCTTGAAGTGTTTGCGTGCTCACGAGGCAGGATATTTGGTAGGAGCTGGCAGCAGCAAAGGAGCCACCTTTCTGCTAGAAATGTCCGACAATATGACGTCCATAAAAAATGATAAGCCATTGGTAACAGCGGTACGGTGATGTAGAACGATTTTTATTCGCTCCGGAAGCATAATTCTCAATTTTGTTTCTAGATGTTGGAACGTGAAAACCGTCGTGAAAAGATACTCGAAGCCAAATCACGCGAAATGAAGCTTAAAGTTCGTAGCCTACACCGCCAGGAAGATAATGTCGATGAGAAACCGAAATTATTCCAATGCCAATGTGAGACTTTTAGCTTTAAGATTTCAAAACTTTCAAGATCACAATTAACTGCCTTGGTTTTTGTTTATTATTATTCTAGCTGCATGTGATGCTGCCGAACAAGAGTACCTTCAAATGCTTGACAAAGAAAGGAAATCTCGTTCTCCGGATGAATATGATCAAGGTTTGTGATTTTGGGCTAGCGCATAACCCGGGGCATTGAACTTGACATTATTGGTTTTTCCCTTCTATTTTCAGAATATGACCCCAGAAAGATTGCAAAACAAGTCAAGGAAGAAGCCTTATCCGACGACGAAAATCCTGAGTAAATCTTTGTATACATTCAAAATTTGTCTTACGTTATAGACAGAGGAAAAAAGCTTAAGCGACTACAAATATGCTGCTTTGATATTTATAATTATTCATGCGAGTTGTAGATACATGTTATTAAAAAAAAACTAATTGCGAGTATTAAAAAGTGGGGAATTCTTCAATCGATTCAATTATCGGCCCAGTAATAAAACACTTGTAAGGATTCAGGTAGGAATACACTTTAGCTCATTTTCCTTTTGAATTGATTCGCTTATCGGGTGACATCCTAATTAAAAACCAGTTATCATTTGGAAAACTATGTGATATCAGCCTTGGCATTTCATTGATGATAAAGTTCGGTATGTATTTCCTGGGCATTGGCAAAACCTTGTGGTAGTTTGATTAGGCTATCAGGTCCCAGGGCTGATCTGGATCTTTACCTCATTGGAAAGATGCACACTAATGTTGCCAGATCAGTGATGATGTGGACCAAAAGTGCATTTGAATTAGCTTGTAATAACATATTAACAAGTAAATAACTACCAATGCCCAGCATAACCTTGAGGATTGCTAAACTACAACCAGATTCCAGGGCTTGTCTGTATCTTTACATTTTGAAAGATGCACACTAGTGATGCCAGTTGTGATGTAGCGCACCAAAAGCTTATTGGAATTTAACTACTAACCAAAATTAAATAATTCTATAGTTTAGAATTATGATTTTAATTATGGTTTGTTTTTCTAAATAATTGAGTCTAATGGCTGCAAACCATTTTTTTTTTTATTTATTTGGATTAAAACTTGTGGAATGCGACATCATACAAGTAATACCTTTGAATTTGGCTTGATCGAGTGGCGATTTTCTTTTCTTTCGATCAAGAAGTGAAGCGTTGAAGAAGACAACGATATTAAAGGATGTATTCGATAAAAATGGCACACCGAAAATCTTCTGAACCGCATACAATGTATACGTATACTCAATACGAGTAAAAAACCAGAAAATTTGAGTAAATCTTATTCGTAGTGTATTGTTTACATCTGTAAAGTTTCATAGTTATTCAAACAGTAGCTCCACTCCAGGACGGGACTTGACAATCGAGCTTCTCAAGCTTCTCAATGTTTTTGAAGAGTGCCCTTCGGAAAGTTGTGCGTGTACACTATTTTTATTTTGCTGGAAACCAGCAAAGTTTTGCTGGATTTTGCCGAGCTGTAAAATCAGCAATTCTTCCAGCAAAATATTGCTGCTGAACGACCAGCAAAATGAACCGACGTAAAAGTGACAGCTGTTTACTGAAACATCAGCAATATTTACTGGATATCCAGCAAACCCGAGAAGCAATGATTTTGCTGAAAGATCAGTAATTTGTTGTAATACGATTGAATTGGAATTGCATTTAAAAATTAAATAAAACACAATCTAATTTGGTATTATATTACGCACTTTTAAATTTCGCATAAAAATTACAATTAGACGATAACTGTTGTTCATAATTTAAGAAAGGTAAATATTTTCCTTCGATCCATCGTACACTGGACGATACTCATTGACTATCTAATCCGGCAATTGTTGCAGCTACATTAAAGCAGGGAATAGAAATATTACAAACAAGATTTTAAATTAAATGTAGAGTTCACAATAAGTTTGCAATTATTCTCATTGTTTTTACCTGTAATTAATGATAGCTGGCACTGTTGAAATTGCAAAACAGAATACGCGGGAAAGTGAAGGGTGATAGTTTGAAAGCTCACACACGTTACTGAGCATCCAGCAAAATATTGCAAATTACTGAACATACAGCAGAACATTGTTTTGCTGGAAGCTGTTCAGCAATTTGTTTTGCTGGAACTTGATTTCAAAATTGAGTGTGTGGTGTTTGACAGAGTTGACCAAAGATGCCCGAAATGTAAAATATTTTTTCTATTTTAATTTGGATTTTATTCGGAGTTTCTACCATAGTTTAGCAGCATGTTCATCATTTATGCTCAACACAATAAAAACAACCATAAACAAACAACAATATCCATCGCTTTAAACACGCAGTGCACTCAATTTTTCAACTTTCCTTTCGCAAATATAAACGATTAACAACACCATTGACGTCAACATTGATTCCGGCATCGCTGCCAGCCAGATTGATGCGATCTCTCTGTTATTTTTATTCCACGATTGCTACTGTAAAATCGACCAATCAGAAACTGCCTCGGATTTGACAGCGAATTGGCTCGAAATCGCTACCCGATTGTCAAGTCCCGTCCAAGGTTCCACTCATGTCATCGAAATGAGAAATTGTCCGTGAAAAAAATGTGGCCGGTGCCGTTGGTGTAGTGGTAAGCGCGACTGCTTTCTCACCCCAATGGGTCTGGGTTCAATCCCAGCCGAGGTCGGTGGGATTTTTCTGAGGCATAAAAATCTCTGGTCACGTCTTCCTTCGGAAGGGAAGTAAAGTCGTTGGTCCCGGCCCACGTGTGTTGTGAATGGATACGATATCCTACGTAGGTGTGGAAGCTGCCTTCCTGCACATTCGATTGCCGTCAATGGATGGTAATTGATGTCCGTCGGTGATTGGCACGATAGGCGGAATAGAGACCGATGTTAAATAAAGGACTGAAGAAGAAGAAGAAGAAGAAGAAGAAGAAGAAAATGTGTGCACTTACAATCAAAATCCAGAGGCGTTTCACCGATGGATCGCTAAAAAGCTTGGAATTGCACATACAACTGTCTCGTGTGATTAGAACCTTCAAGGAGCAAATTTTCCTTATTAGAGATTTGCATCGGTTTTTCTCCTTTAGGTTACTTAAATCTTTGGTTTTTTTGTTTGGGTTCCGATTCTACACATTGTAGCTTCATTGTAGAGGAGGAATACTTAAGTGGGTTAGGTTTTGATAAGTTCTTTAGTGGAAATGACACTGATGAAGACTGCACATTGTAGTCCAAATACGTATCTGTCATGGATACCAAAATTAATTAAGTGGAATTAAATGGCAGATAACCTTTTACTGCCCAAAGGAAGGAAGGGAGTGGTCGTAAAAGTGGTCCAATGGACAGTAAAGTGGCCAGACCGAGGGTCGCGCACTACCAGGTATGAGTGCATGTTATTTAAAATACATCGTAGTAATTTAAATACTTTGAGGACAGTACCCAAGTAGCATTTCTTGTTTTATTGCACTCTATTAGTGGCTATTGAGATCAATTTCATAAAACCGCCAATAAAATTAATAGCTCCAGCACAACCTTTTGATAACCGTTATAAGATCGTCATACAGCTTAGTGGACCACTCTTGATAAGGTTTATAAAGCATGTTTGAGAATAACAATAAAGCTGTCTTAAAACCTTTTGTCAGGAAGCCTCATACTCTACAAAAGGTTCTCATAGCCTCTATAAGAGTAATATTGTATCCAAGCAGTTTTATTACGCTTTGGTGAAAATCAGTTATAAAGCCAATTTAATTTTTATTGGCTTCAAAGCAACCGTCATAAATTAGCTTGTTGTTGTTCTGTTCTGCTGAAACTTTTTTTTCCAAATGGAAATCTTTAGCGGTAAAAATAGGTGGAGTGTGTGTCAAGATCACCATGCAATCAATTTTGTTTCATGGCGACATTAGTGAAAATATTAAAGACAATATATTACTTTTTAGAAGTTCCAAAACATATGCGCTTGAAATGTTATCGTGTATATTGAGATAATATGAGTGTTAAATAAATGCGCCTCCAAAATAATTCAAGTTAACAAAAAAGATTGTTTCAGAAATCAAATGAATTTGATGTAATCACCTTAATTTTACTGAAAATAGATCTCAATACATAAATTCATACCAATGCACACTGAAACTCATTTCGGATCTCTTATTTAGCCATTATTTTATTGAAATTTCTTGGATTTTATTCCAATGACAATATGGCGACAGAGGACAGCAGGCAAGAAAAACACCAAGCGCAATTTCTTAAAATGTCTAATGCTTACATTGCACACTGGGTCAGGAATGCAACCTAGCGGAGCAAAATTAATAACTCCGAAACGAAGCATTTCCGCGACTTGGTGTCTTGGGCAAAATTTCTCGTCATAATAAGGACCATCTATTGACATAACAAATAGTTCAAAACTCTTCCGCAAAGATGGTGCCACAATCTAACTTCTTTCTCTGTCGTTTTGGAGACTTGATGTCTTCGGCAAAGTTGTTTATCTTGACAAAATGAACAGCTCTTTCAAAGACGTTAAATTTCCACTGTCTACTGGTTCCAAGTTATATGGAGTTAAAGAAAAAAATGTCGAAAATATGGTTTTTTTTTCTGTTTCGGTTTTTTTGCTTACAGCTTTATAATGTTTTATTTTTCTCTTATGCAATTTTTGAACATATACATTAAATAAATAGCTTTTGTGAAGAAACATACTGGATTAAGCTTCAAATTTCAAAGATATTGTTGAAAAAACGAGAAAAAAACACAATTTTTGAACATTAATATCTCTCAAAGCGCAAAAAATAGCAACCTGACATTTTCACCAAAAATTAAGCAATACTCGATAAACAAAATATCAAAATTTGAGAGAGGTATGTTTTGGTGTTTTTTTTAGATTTCTTCATTTTAGTGGAACATGATTTTTTTCTATAAATTTTTTGATTTTTTTCTATAGCTTTTTTGAATTTGTGCTTCGAAGACTTCACGACTTTGTCAAAATTGGTTATCTTGATAAAATAAACAACTTTTCTAAATACGTTAAAACTTCACAGCCTACTGTTTTCGAGTTATGTGAAATTACAGAAAAAATGTGAAAATAAGTGTTTAAATTTTAAATATATTGTTTAAATGAATTTACCTCGAAAACAGTAGGCTGTGAAGTTTTAACGTCTTAAGAAGAGTTGTTTATTTTATCAAGATAAACAATTTTGCCAAAGTCGTCAAGTCTTCAAAACGCCATTTCAATGCATTAAAAAAGTTATAGAAAAAAATAATGTTCCATTAAAATGAAGAAATCTACAAAACACCAAAATATACCTCTCTCAAATTTTGATATTTTGTTTATCGAGTATTGCTTAATTTTTGCTGAAAATGTCAGGTTGCGATTTTTTGCGCTTTGAGAGATATTAATGTTCAAAAATTATGTTTATTTTCTCGTGTTTTCAACAATATCTTTGAAATTTGAAGCTTAATCCAGTATGTTTCTTCACAAAAGCTATTTATTTAATGTATTTGCATAAGAGAAAAATATAACATTATAAAGCTGTAAGCAAAAAAAACCGAAACAGAAAAAAACCATATTTTCGACATTTTTTTCTTTAACTCCATATAACTTGGAACCAGTAGACTGTGGAAATTTTTCGTCTTTGAAAGAGCTGTTCATTTTGTCAAGATAAACAACTTTGCCGAAGACATCAAGTTTCCAAAACGCCAGAGAAAGAAGTTAGATTGTGACACCATCTTTGCGGAAGAGTTTTGAACTATTTGTTTATGTCAATAGATGGTCCTTATTATGACGAGAAATTTTGCCGAAGACACCAACTCGCGGAAATGCTTCGTTTCGGAGTTTCCTGGCCCAGTGTGCATGGGATGAAAGCAGAACAGAAAAGCATAATGCATGATTTTATTACGAGAACTATTTTCTTTTTACAAGAGCAATTCAAGCTGAACTTTGCATTAGGTCCTAAGTAACATTGATCGATTCTCTTCGTCGACTTTCTCTTTAGTTAATAACTTATTCACAGAACCATTTCTTGATGTGTTTGTCGTATTGGATGCTAGATAAAAGCTTCTTTTATCGATTTATGTGCTGAAAATACCTGGGAATGTCTTTACATGACCGTGGGGATGCAAAGAGAAAGTTGACGAAGCGAATCTGTCAATATTACTTAGGACCTAATGCAATGTTCAGCTTGAATTCATTTTTTTATTTGAGGGCAAATGTATATTCCTATTCTACGGGTGCAACCGATGAATTTTACAAACATTTAGAAAAGTTTTGAATGGTACATCAATCTTTATGAAAAGTTATGCGTGATTTCAACCTTTTTGCCCTAGGACTGTCACCATTTCGACCAAGATTCGACCGTGTCACCCCATGTATATGCGAGCGAGAACGGAAGAATCATGGAGATTGCTGACGTTTTTCTTACGCACACTACGTCGCGTATACGTATACACGAAATGTTTTCATGCTCATGCTAACAATTTTGTTGATTTTCTTTGCGCTCCGCTTGGAAGTACCGGAAAGTTTTGATTCTTTTCTATGTTGTAAAAATAAACCACCTATTTACATTTCTGACAAGTCGCAACTGAATGCTTATAATTGTTTTAAAATAACTGTTTCATGGCCAACTAGTTTTATTGCGCTTACTTATAAAGCAACGAAAGGATTTATTTTTTGGTTTTATAAGGGCAATTCCTATTACTTTTTTGTATACTTCAAAGCAATCATAAAACCTTTCATAAGTGAAAATAGCATAAGCATCAGTTGGTTTTTTAATTAGCTTTATAGGGGTTTTGTAGATAGCTATAAGAATGTTTCATGACTTGCATTGTATATGACCGTGATAAAGCTGTAGGTAATGGTTGCAGCTGCAATAAAACCTTTATAAATTTTGAATATAGCCAAGCAGCTCTAGATTTGTTACTTGGGTAATCATTTGATTATAAATACTTTTAGCGGTATTGGAAGTAATCAACATATAATTAACGATAATTAATGTAATGGAAAATAATTTAAATGTTTTGAAAATAATTTAAGCATTAAATATTTTTAGTATTTAAAGTATTTAATGCAATTTAGAGTGTATTTGAAGTAATGAAAGCAGTAATGACAAGATTTTAAATATTTGGTCAGTAGGCTGCGTAGTATTGAAAGACTAGTGCGTGCCCCTCGGGCCAGGCAAGTGGTGCAACAGCTCAAGAACCATCCAAACATGTCAATTCGAGATGTCGCTAAAAAGTCCAAGGTGTCAGTTGGTTTTGTGCAGAACACCATGAAGCGTGCTGGGTTACATGTTTACAAGGTGCAAAAAGCTCAAAATCGGAATGAAAAGCAAAACATCACTGCGAAAACCCGCACCCGGAAACTTTACAAGAAGCTGCTCACTAAATCGTATTGCATCCGTGATGGATGACGAAACTTACGTCAAGGCCGTCAACTTCTTGGACAAGAATATTTTGTTGCAGAGTCTAAGTTCGATGTTCCGGAGGATGTTCGAAAGAAGAAATTATCGAAATTTGCAAAGAAGTTCCTGATCTGGCAGGCGATTTGCGAATGTGGTGAAATAAGCGCTCCCCTCATCACTTCCGGAACAATCAACGGTGCGATTTACACGGAAGAGTGCCTTAAGAAGCGTATCTTGCCATTCATGAGGAAGCACAAAGTATCAACTCTTGTCTTAATCTATCATCCTGCCACTACGCTCGAAACGTGTTGGAGTGGTACCGAGCCAAAGGAGTCAATTTTGTGCCAAAAAATATGAACCCACCGGAACTTCGCTCAATTGAAATATTCTGGGTATTTATGAAGACGGAACTTCGCAAACATCCCAAAAGTATTAAAACAGAGCTGGAGTTGAAGTAAATTTGGGTAAAAATAACAAAAACACTGGGAAAATCGATTGATCAAAATTTGATGGGTGGAGTGAAAAGGAAGGTGGCGGCATTTGGGATGAGAGACGAAATTGAATAAAACAAATTTTGTAAATCATAATGCTAAATGTAATGTAAAATGCTGCAATGGAACAATCAAATTGACATTCCATTTATTCTACACCGTTTGCTATTTTATAGATTTTTAATTGAACACAGAAAAGATAAACTGAAGTTAAGCTAACTTAAATAAGTTTCAGTTGAAAGCCACTTGTCTGTCGTAGTGCGCAACATAATGATCTATGATGTCTCGTGCACTTTGTTTTCTATAGTTGTTTTACCATGACTAACATTAATAAGATTCCGAAAGTTGGGTGAATATGTTTGGAACCTAATTATGAATAAAAGAGGAACTGATTTTTAACTACGCGCACGCATCTGTTATGTAGAACAAGACTCAATGTTGGCTTTAAAATTGTCAATTCAAGGGTTCTTTCCATCACAACCATAAAAAGCAAAGGTGGGTGTCAGCTTTCAAGGTCTCATGACAGCTTTTTACTCATAAATACAACAAGTGCAAAACAAAAATCATCGGTCTGGCATAAATTTTATCGGTCTAGTGTCAAGCATATATTAAATATTCAATAAATCTATTTCTTTTCTTCAAAATTGTCACTGTTTAAAATGCATCTTTGCTAGTGTTTTTCACTTCGAAGATATTCCAGATCACCATTCGATGTACGGAAGAATATTTACCATAACGTATAACACGATATTTCAAATTTAACTTTGTTCAGTATTGTTGCTCGTTTGCATTCCTGGCCAATAAAAATTTAGTTTCGCGTTTAAATTTGTCATCATAGAAAACCGTTACATGCCACCTATAATATAAACACATCCGGACAGGTTTCGATTCAAAAGTAGGTTTCCAAGTGGACCAAACACTATCACGATGTCCGCACTAAAACAAGACTAACCCATTCATGATACTTCAAACCGTTAGAATTACCGAACGACACTCATTGAAAATAAAACGCAACACAGGTATGTAGGTAGCTAGGAATCCTTAACGCCCGGATTTTAATCGATCTAACAATTCATTGATGCCGAAGAAGTCCGCATACCACGGATCCTTCCTGGCGCGTAGCATTCGTTTGTGGAAAGTTGTAACATAAAGTCGCGGTATTTGTGTTCTCCCCATAAAGGACCTGTGACGCCAGCGGAAGACGCGTGGTTTACAACAGTTTGTTACGTGGCATCGTAAGGGCTCGGCAGCAACTACTATACACACGTGCTCAATTTGGCATGTTGTCGTCTCGTCTGCGGAAAGTTTGCGTGTAAAAAGCAAATTAGGCCACAGATATAGTAATAAAGTGTGCCAAACGAAATCGCGGTTACCGGAACCGGCCCAGACAACCTTGAACTTGAATATAATTATTCATAGTAAGAGCATAAACAATCGTTCAAGATGAAAATCGACGGAAAGATTAGCAGCAGCCAGATGGAGCAAAACTGGACTCGGTACATGGTAATGACCGATACCAAAACGCTCCGAAAGCCAGTCGAGTTGCAAGAGGAAAATGAAGTTCAGACCAACATTCCACCCAACAAAACTCTACAGAAGAACTTCAGCACCATAAGTCCGGTTGAGAAAGGCCTGCAATGTACACCGTTGATTTTGAATACCCCGGTATGGACTGTACACAATAGCCTAGTACATTCGGGTACAACGCATTATGAGGGCGGATGGCCAAAGGACATCGACACCCACGACGAAGAGGTGACGGCGAGATATAGAAGGAAGCAGGAAAAAAGCGAGGCATACCTGTGCCAGATGAAAGGATTGACCAAGGTTAGTGAACAGTATTGATTCTCAAAAAATATTTTTGGGGTATCCTTGACAGGTTGACTGACAGGTTCCGTAGTTGTTTTTGTGCAATTTAAACTAGATAGCACTGAGCGGTTGCATGCTTAGCACGAGACAGCAGCTTTTGTCTATTATTTTCAAAACTGATTGTTCATTTTTGCATTGGAACAACCCGGTTTTAGACACTACAAAGCCAGGTATATTTATTGCATTGCATTGAAAAACGATTGTATTCTATGATTCTGGTTCAATGCAGATCATTTCAGATTTTCATTCGTTATTGAAAGGTATTTTAAAAGTGTCTATAATCGCGTGATTGTCGAAAAAATAGGCCGGACACTTACTGCGTGTTTAGAATCCGTTTTAAATGCTACCGAAGTCATTGTCAGAAGCATTCAACATTGACCATGTCATTACTTCTATGACAACATATCTGGCATGGCACGGTTAATGTCAAAGACAGTTGCAATCTATGGGTCACGATGCTCTGATGGTTCAAAGGCTGCCTAAGCTGGGAAAATTTGATTTTGACGTAGAACTACGTCTTTGTCGACTATACTGGGGTGCAAATCAAAAAATATGTGTGATGAAATAGTGTTAGGTTTTGAACACTTGTAACTTTGTCATTTATAGATGAAATTAAAATCCAAATACGCCAATCGATAGGATATTAATTAACGAATCTGCTGAAATAAAAACTTTTCCAATTTTTAATCAAAAAACTTTTGAAAAATGCGCAAATGATAATTTTATCACTGTTTTCATGAACTAAACGTTTTCCCCAAACCCAGTCATCATAAATGAATACCACTTGGTTGCACATCATTCTGCTTGAAGCTGAAAAGATATAAAACAGCGCTGCTTTCCTGACTCTGCTCAGCTATTAGAAGCAATAAAAACATGAAGGCTGCGGGTATGGATGGTGTAGTCAACCTCGAGTTGAAAAACTTGAGTATTGACTTTTTCAACCATCTTACCATTATCTTCAACAAATGTTTGGAGCTTGGCTACTTCCCTGCATGCTGGAAGTAAGCCAAAGTGATTCCAATACACAAACCGGGCAAAGACCCTACCAGTGCCAAAAGCTATCGCCCCATCAGCCTGTTGTCCTCCATCTCGAAGCTATTCGAAAAGTTGATACTCAGCCGTCTGCTGGTGTTTTCAAATGACAATAACATCTTTCTCAAAGAGCAATTCGGGTTTAGGAAAGGCCACTCTACCATCCACTAACTCGCACGGGTTACAAACGTCATCAAGCGGAATAAGTCCGTTTCCAATACATCTGCCATGGCATTGTTGGACGTCGAGAAGGCGTTCGACAATGTCTGGCATGATGGTCTAGTGTACAAGCTGCATCGATACAACTTTCCGATCTACCTCGTTAAGATCATCAAAAACTACTTGTCGAGCAGATCATTCCAGGTCTACTTGAACAATGTCCCTTCTGATACGTTCAATGTTGATGCAGGGGTCCCTCAGGGAGGCCTGCTTGGGCCTATCCTATTCAATATCTTCACGTCAGACGTTCCTCCCCTGCCGGGTGGTGGTATACTGTCAGTGTTCGCAGATGACACCTCCATCATCTATAAGGGTCGAGTGATCCGTGCTCTAGCGAGTAAACTACAATCAGGCCTGGATGTTCTGTCCGACTATTTCAAGAGCTGGAAGATTTGTATCAATGCAGCTAAAACACAAACCATTCTGTTTCCACACTCGAATTTACCTCGGCTTGTTCCGCCTGCTAACGTCAAGGTCCATGTTGATAGCACTCCTATTGAATGGTCGAGTGAAGTAGTCTACCTTGGTCTCACCCTCGCTAGCAAATTGCTATTCCGACCCCATGTGGACAAGACATCCACCAAATGTAACATCTTGATCAGGTCACTCTACCCTCTGATAAACAGGAAGTCCACCCTGTCCCTCAAAAACAAGCTTGCTGCCCACAAGCAGATCATTCTGCCGGCTATTGAGTACCCAACAAACAATTGAGAGCTCTTATAAAACACCTGAGCTGATCAAACGTTGAATAATAGCTTCCAGAGTTGAACAAGAATGTAGTTGTATTGCCATTTGATTAAAAGTTTTAAAAGCTGTTGGAGCACTCTTAAATGATTGTTTACGTTCGGTTTAACTATATGCTTTATAAGACCTACGATAACTTTTATAGCACCTTTGTTAAACTGATTGACAAGAGCTATATAGAACGTGACATAAACGCATCAAAACAAACCATTGGGAGCTCTTATACAACACCTGAGTTGATCAAACGTTGAATAACAGCTTCCAGAGTTGTACAAGAATGTAGTTGTATTGCCATTTGGTTTAAAGCTTCAAAAACTGTTTGACAGGAGCCATATAGGATGTGGAATAAACGCATCAAAACAAACCATTGGGAGCTCTTATAAAACACCTGAGTTGATTAAACGTTGAATAATAGCTTCCAGAGTTGTACAAGAATGTAGTTGTATTGCCTTTTTGGTTAGAAGCTTCAAAAGCTGCTTGGAGCACTCTTAAATGATTGTTTACGTTCGGTTTAACTATATGCTTTATAAGACCTACGATAACTTTTATAGCACCTTTGTTACACTGATTGACAAGAGCTATATAGAACGTGACATAAACGCATCAAAACAAACCATTGGGAGCTCTTATACAACACCTGAGTTGATCAAACGTTGAATAACAGCTTCCAGAGTTGTACAAGAATGTAGTTGTATTGCCATTTGGTTTAAAGCTTCAAAAACTGCTTGGAGCACTCTTAAATGATTGTTTACGTTCGGTTAAACTGTTTGACAGGAGCCATATAGGATGTGGAATAAACGCATCAAAACAAACCATTGGGAGCTCTTATAAAACACCTGAGTTGATTAAACGTTGAATAATAGCTTCCAGTGGGGCCTCCCTTAGCTCAGTCGGTAAAGGCGCAGCTACAAAGCAAGACCATGCTGGAGGTGGCTGGGTTCGATTCCCGGTCCGGTCTAGGAATTTTTCGGGTTGGAAAATTTCTCGACTTCCCTGGGCATAGAAGTATGATTGGACTTGCCACACAATTATACCAATGCAAAAATGGTATAGGCATCGAAAGCTCTCAATTAATAACTGTGGAAGTGCATCTAGAACACTAAGTTGAGAGCACGCAATAAGCTAATTTGCGATATGCAATAAGCTTGAAATGCGAAGAAGAAGAAGATGATTAAACGTTGAATAATAGCTTCCAGAGTTGAACAAGAATGTAGTTGTATTGCCTTTTTGGTTAGAAGCTTCAAAAGCTGCTTGGAGCACTCTTAAATGATTGTTTACGTTCGGTTTAACTATATGCTTTATAAGACCTACGATAACTTTTATAGCACCTTTGTTAAACTGATTGACAAGAGCTATATAGAATGTGGAATAAACGCATCAAAACAAACCATTGGGAGCTCTTATACAACACCTGAGTTGATCAAACGTTGAATAATAGCTTCCAGAGCTGAACAAGAATGTAGTTGTATTGCCATTTGGTTAAAAGCTTCAAAAGCTGCTTGGAGCACTCTTAAATGATTGTTTACGTTCGACCAACCACAATTTTGTTGCTAAAAATAGCACAAGTGATAGGCATGTTTATATAACCATAAGGCAATGATTATTCGACTGCAAGAGAAGTCACTCAAGATGAGCTTGATATACTTCTCTCATATGATCAAAATATGTATTCAAGAATAGAGCAGATGGAAACAGAAGCGGCTGGCAATCCGGGATTATGAGTTCGAATCTTGCTTCGAGAAACCCTCGGTGGAGTAGAGGTAAATTATATATAGGTGTTATTAATAAATGCAAACATTAATTTAAGACAAATATCATATAATCAACGATAACATTTCTAGATAAATTCTCTCAATTAATGATTAGAGAGATTAATTGAAAGAATATCAATCAAAGATTAAACAGATGCTTGTTACTACTTCCTCCATGATCACAGAATGTGAATTATGGCATAATTACATATTTTTTCAATGTACACAAATAAATTAAATTAATAAAAACTGTACAAGCAATTATTTTGGCGTACCACGACAATTGTTAAACTAATTTTAATCTGTGAATATTGTGAGTACTTACACAACGGTTATTAAGGAGTCATTAGTGCTATAAACGCTTTTCACCGCTTGCTGTATAGTGATTATTTAGGAGTCATAAAAGAGTGTAACAAACGCCTCTCAGGTTCAATCTTTAATACATTTCGAAGCAGCTGTTAGGAGGTGTCTACAAACGTTGTATTAGAGCTTTCACCAAAACAATAAAGCTTTAGTTTAAATATGTATCTATAAACGTTTTATAAAAGTTGCTTCTATCCGGTTGTTAAGGAGTCATTGAAAAGTGCTTTAAACGCTTTTCACCGCTTGCTGTACAATGATTATTTAGGAGTCATAAAAGAGTGCAACAAACGCCTCTCAGGTTTACTCTCTACTAAATTTCAAAGCAGCTGTCAAGAAGTGTCTACAAACGTTGTATACGAGCTTTCACCAAAATAATAAAGCTTGAGTTTAAATATGTATCTATAAACGTTGTATAAAAGTTGCTTCTATCCGGTTGTTAAGGAGTCATTGAAAAGTGCTATAAACGCTTTTCACCGCTTGCTGTACAATGATTATTTAGGAGTCATAAAAGAGTGCAACAAACGCCTCTCAGGTTTACTATCTACTAAATTTCAAAGCAGCTGTCAAGAAGTGTCTACAAACGTTGTATAAGAGCTTTCACCAAAATAATAAAGCTTGAGTTTAAATATGTATCTATAAACGTTGTATAAAAGTTGCTTCTACTCCTATACCGCGTATACATATAATGCTGTAGTTGAACAGGTTCTCCAAACCAGTGTAAACAAGAGTTTTACAGAAGTTGTAATAAACAAATTGTACAGTTATTATTCAGCATGCAGTTGAATAAAATCACAATGGAAGCGTTTCTTCAACAAGAAATTGATTTTGGATAAACGTTTTACTGAATAC